AGTCCCACGGAGCCCCCCAGAAAGTCGAGACAGGCGATAACAATTAAGCAGCGCTGACGTCAGATCTGTAAGTTTATTTGCTCAATGTACGACGGCTACATAATGACTCACATTCATGATATTCCATCACTGAGGAAAAACTGCTAAGAATGGTCCGTGTGTGAAATAATTCCTTACAGAAACACGGAGTTGGAAAAATAATCACTGATTAGACCTTAAAAATAGTTCACTGCATAACATGACAAAAAGCACAAACAAAGGCTCATTCAAAGAACACAGTCATTGTTCTCCTACACTGTAATAGTTATAATTTCACCATGACGAACACCAGACATTAAGATTAAGCTAACACTGGTGTTTTCTTTTGCTTTTTTTTTTCCTTTTTAAAAACAAAATCATATATAATTGCATGTCACTATAGCAACATCCATAACAGATCAGTTTGTTACGATCACTATTTGGTAGAGCAAACTTTACCCCCAAAAAAAAGAAAAGGAAAGAAAAATAAATTAAAAAACTTTAAAAAATTTTTGAAGACTATTTTGTCATAGGAATACATAACATCTACAGTATAAGTTAATAAATTTCAAGCTACTGTATAGAAATACGACACTAGCATGCACAATATTGTATCAATAGAGTAATGGAGCAGTAATCATTTCACTGGAGAGACAGTATCATAGGCAAGTGCATCTCTTAAAAAATTAAAGAAACCATTCAAGCTGCTTAAAAATCAAGTCCCTGACCCCCACTCCGTTTTTAGCCCTCTTGTGCCATCTCTCCTGCATAAGTTTCCTAAAGCAGCCAGAGCAAAAAGCCAAAAAGAGTAGTAATTATTTGGAGAAAAACGAAAAGAAAAAAAAAAAAAAAAGATAGGTTTTGTAATTCCAGTAAATCACTTCCAATTACACAGCTGGGACAACACTGCTCACGGGACACGGGGGTCAATGAGAGGGAGGTCAGAAGCCTAAAGCATCTCCCGGTCCCGGCACGCACCGGCACCGGCACCGCACGCCCTCGCCGCGGGATGCTGCGCCCAAATTCCCTGGGGGATGAAATT